CAGTGTTTTTTGTTTTTTTTACCAACGACTGATAAAAATCTGAAAAAGTACACCTGAAATAGAAACATTTATAATTCTGTATAACCTTGGCGACCACGCCGGTGCTCGCGGTATGAAAGAAATGGAAAATGAGCAACCATATCACCAACATAGTTATTACCGTCTTTCGAATATATTCGCCATACATCGTATATTCCGAATACACATGTGTTGTTCATAGCCTAAGTGTACATGTATAGCAGTTTTTTTTTAGTCAGAAAGTCATACCGTTTTCCGCGCCGTTTATTGGCCACGTTAGGTTCTGAAAAGTCCGCCATAGCCAAACTCAGGGTGAAAACGCCGAACGCTTAGTGGTCGATGAGACATCAGAGTGTAGCGCGCCTTTGGTACAACGATGTGAGTATTTTTGAGCAAGGTATAGGGGCTTAGAGCGATAAATTGGTATTCCGTTCTCCAGGCAAAAGGGACCCCCACTTGGATGCCTCCATGTAGTATAATTTTGACCACTATACACGTGACCGTACAAATCCCGAGATTTTTACGCAAAACTGAGCCGAGATTTGTATTTTGATCGCTGTAAAAACATGAGAAACTATTTTTTCGATACTGTTAGCCGTTGAAATCAGTGCCTAGTTTCGATAAAAACCAAAAATACAGCACCACGGCTGACGGCATCTCGCGGAGGTATTGCGAAGCCGCCCGAGTTTTTGTTGTAAAAGCACCTTTTTGACTTAAAGCAAACGAAACATAACTTATCTTGTCGGTACTCGTATTAAAGATCAATACCCAATTTTTTGTGCGCGCTAATTGGTTAAATTGTAGACGTGAAACTATAAGGTCACGTGTCTAATGGTCAAAATGTGCAACATGGCGGCCACCAATTGGAGGTCACTTTCAGTTGCCAGTTTATCGCGCTAAGGCCCTCTACCTCATTGATATTTTTATAAGTTGCCGCTACAGGTTGGTTTACGACGATTCGCTACCCACGGCCCGGCCGAAGCCGACTTTACTTCCGGGTGAAACTTCCGTCGCTCTTTTCTTGGTTTTTCACTCTCCTCACGGAATAAATCTGTCCTAAATTGTACAAAATCTAACGGCGGCTATATCATATATTTTGGCGACGTGCAACAATTATTTAAAGGGAAGATGGGGCACTTCTGTATTTGAGAAAAAACGCTTGAATTGTGTTCATTTGGCCTTTAGAATAACAGATATCACAATTATATTTCAATGCGACGCGCCGGAGAGCCATAAGAGCAATTTGAAAATAGGGCTGAAGCCCCGCCTCCCTAGCCTTGGCAAGCCAAAAGATCCGTCGATGACGTCACGGACAGCGACTGTCTTTCGCGTTTTTCTCGTGTTTAACAATACTTGCGCGGCAAATAGTTTTGGTATTCGGGTTCACGAGGTAAAAATACACTAGAATTCACTTCTAAGTCATTTTTTTTCAAGAAGCTCCGTAGCTTCCCTTTAAGTAAAATGTACAGGTAAACAATTCAAAATCAAATTAGGGCACTATAGCTAATTGAATCGGTAATTGTCTCACTATGCTCGTAACCTGGGATCCGCCGTGGTCGATTATATTATTATAAGGAAACCGTTCATTTAGATCAAATGCCCTTTTATAAAAAAAAAAAAAAAAAAAATTCTGTGTTTGGTGAAAGACCATGAATAACAGTTATAGCTTTTAAAATATAGTCCAGATCACTATAGGTGTGGTACGAATAATCCTCAAACATTGCATGTGTCGGGATGAACGACAAAACATATAAGCACATTTTTGTTTTATGAATATTTGCGTTATATATTATTACACGCTCCTCATTTACGTCATACGCCGTAACTCCAGCTACTTCTTTACACACACAGTAGATTTTTGATAGGTGTACGCGAACACAGCCAAAACTTGCCATATGCTTCATTTTATTCGGGTTGATTTTATATTTAGTTTTACTCAACCTTACTGCGGTGTCCTTGGTAACACCGCGGAAGGGTGACCATGCTAGCCAACGTCCCTCACCAGAAAGCGTTTTACTCCAAAGACGCAACAAACAGGAGCATGCAATAATGAGTGATAATACTAAACAGTTCGCTACTGTTGGTGATAAGGCCAATGCTACCGGATTCAAAATCCAAGCGCCATGATTCGCCTGTTACCGACAAACTGGCAAGACAAAGATCTTGAGAATAATCATCCCTTCTCCAGGGATTTTTATTGACATTCTTTTCTAACTCGTTTGCACCTTTGCATTAATTGCATTTTAATCATACCCTTAAAATGCAGGCCGTTCATCTCTGTTGGTGTTAGACTGGTAGCAGCTGATAAAACCCATTTGCTCTACTGATATCTAACTCCTGGTTAGCTCACCGACGGTAGAGCGCGCCCCTGGAAATGGAGGTTCGATTCCAAAATCTTGTTCAATACGTGGTCGTGCACCAGTCACCTAGCTGTATTTGGAGACTTGTGTTTGTCCTTTGTCCCTGTTGTTCCCCACCTACGGGAATTAGTATTATCATTATTTTCCAACTCGCTTGCGCCTTTGCGTTAAATGCAGTATAATCACAGAAGTAGTGCCAGTTTCAGCCGTTCCGTTTATGCGCATGCGTGCGTCCTATCCGTGAAAGTCAGTAGCCAGGGGTGAATTTTAGACCTATAAATCAAATAATAAAAATTGGCAGAATATTTTTGATCTGAGAAATATTGAATTTGTTTGTTTTCTACCTAATTTCAGGTTCTGATTTACTCGTTGCATTAGGCTTCGATCTGATTGAAAATTAAGTGGTCAGCATCTCCATTCAGCTAAATTTCTCAAAAGCTAATGTTGCGATTGTTCGTCACCTTTATTTGCAATATTTAAGGCAAGCTTTTTGCAGTTTCTTTGATATCTTAAAAGTAGTAACATACCAGATTTGTTTAACATATAGTATATACCAGCCAGTCCCATGAGCCGGCGTGTTGCCCCGGTTACAGACAATTTATTTACAGATTTAAATCCGCTATACTCGATAAAAACACAGACATGCGTTTTCGTAAATAAAAGTAGCCAATCAGTATTATGGGCAAATTGCTATGTTTCATGGAATACTCCATGGTGAACTTGAGAGCTTGCTTCATCCCTGTTCTAAATATTTATTGCAAAATTAGGTTTAGGATGGTCCGTAGGGCATATAAAAGTTAATATTAATTAAGATAAGTGACTCGAATTCGGACTTTAAAAGATTAGGCAGCTGATCATTTTTGCGGTGAAGTGGCAGTCGTTTTATATAGGGTGGCTCCAGTGGATTTTAAGCTGTAAGGCGAGCCGGGAACATCGACGACAGCACGTCGGAAGCCCAAACTTTCACCAAATGTGCATTGTTGTGGTGAATTTTAGCTAATTAAGTTTTAAAGCATAGTTTCCTTTCTTTGTAAAACGACCTCTAAACTTGCCAGGATCAACGGCTGACCCTGACCCTGACCCTGACCCTGACCCAGACCCTGACCCAGACGACAAAATTTGTGAGGCTTGTAACTTGTGGCGCCATCTCCCGATGGGCGAAGCGAGTGAGATAACGCACTCCGTTGTCGTTTCGATGCTTTCTTGGCAGTTGCCACTTTCATAGCGATTGCCCCTTTAGTTTTTGTTTTATTTATAATGCATACCATTTTCGCTTTATCTTCCACTTTGATATTTAACGTTCGTAATCTCAGTAATTCCTTTCAAGCGTTTCTGTTAGGCCTTCCAGGAAAACAAACGACGGAAACAACCCTAACGGCCCGCGACGCGCGCGCCGTTGCGAACGATGATAACAGTTCTCTGCTGAGGTAATTTCTAAAGTGCCCTTTGTGGCCTTCGCGCAAAAATAGCTGATCGGTTTTAGGTTATAGACAAATAAGTAGCGTTCGTTCCTTTGCTTGGATACTGTTCAAAAGACAAGCTCACCGTAAACGTGCCGCAAAGCGAGTTCCCCTTGGATTTCCTATGATTGTCGTGAGGTGACTTTCGTCGTACAGTTAAATGGGTGTGCTGGTGTTATTTTAGATGTTAAAACTAAACTTTGTATAAAAACCGCGGCATCGTGTGACATGTACACTATATTATTGAAATGTCAAGACGCGCTAACTTTAATTTATGAGGCCTGTGGGATACATCGGTGAATACGTATTTGAACGTATCCTATTTTCAAACTTTTGGACAGTTAAGCACGTTGTGAATTGTAACAATTGAGTGGGCGGGGCAGTGTGACAATTATGCCTATTTTGAAACAAATATTCAGTCGCATTCATTTTGTTGCTCTGTCATTCGACAAAACGTGTTTACATTTGTTGTATTTTATTCCGAAAACGTGGTGCAACGCACTTTCAAAGATCTCGCTAAATTATGCCTATACGTCATAAAACGTAAAAATACAGAAAAAAATTCGATAGTTTTGCCGCCACTAGTATTTGAAATTGCGTCTTTGTAAGCCGCAGCTAGTGAAATCATAGCCCAATCGGCTAAAGTTCGCAGAGACGTCAGGGAGAGACAAGCCTCAAACCAGTGAATCTATTCGAAAAGCGTTTTGTCCGGCGCTTTTTATATTTTCCTCGTATAATCTCTCTTTTTTCAATTTTCACGCGTGTATGAAGCTGCTGAAACATTTTTTTCTTCTATTTTTATTGTGACATTAAGAGTTTGAAAAAAAAAAAAAAAAAGAAGCATTTTACGACATCGATGAGCGAATGTCCACCGGATGCCAGCTTGAAGCATTCATGTGTTTTCAAGTTTCGTATAGACCACCACGCTGTTGGAAAACAATTTCAACTTTCCCAAAACCAAGAGCGAGCGCAGCGCTTGCGCAGAAACGAGTTTCGCGTGTGGCGAGGCTTTGCCCACGTGCCGCGCTGGCAGCCGCCCCTACGCAGCGCCGGGACCTCTGGGTATCGGGATGGTGTATAAAATCGAGTGCTGTCACGACGTAACTCAGGAAACGGCAACGTAAATCGAAGTGCGGTAGCAGAATATCAACTCTCCCGAATAATGCCATTGTTCCCGCTCACCGTAACTGTTCTGCTGGTTCTTCTTCATAGCACCTCTGCAAGAAAGGCATACATGGAGCGAAATCCGGCGCTGCAAGAGTATCAGAATCAATCTTCGGTAAGTTTAAATTGATAAGAATGAAGTAAAAAAATATACCTTGTTATTCTCTATTGTGTCCCCGCCGACCTGGTATTTCCCAGACTTCACCGAACGAGAACAATGAAAAGTGACTCAACAATATGCCTTTGTCGTCTCACCGCGATCTACGTTGCAGTGCTTCCCGCTCGAAGAGACATGGCACATGGCATACAGAAACTACGAGTTTGATCCCGCAATGGGCTACGCAGCTCGTTGTGTCAGATACGGCCAGACTCGCTCCGGACGAAATGGCCGTCACCCTGTCATTCTCACGTACAAGCCAAACGTTGTCATGTGAGTACACTCGTTAAAATTAGTTTTATTTATCTACCAGTTTTTTTTTTTACATGGTGGCTTGTTAGTAATGTGCCAGGGAAACGCCTTGAAAAACTTGCAGTCTGTTCTCGGACAATGCTACCCCTGCATTTTCCTGGAATCATTTTTAGTCTGCCCTCATATTCGAGAACGTAAAAACTAGGAACGAAATAAAAAGTGATTAGAAATATTCGCTTTAAAACCAGCAAATATAAGTTAAGGACCTCGCAAAAGCACCAAACGTCTGGTCGCAAAATTTCGTTCTTATAACAACAGCAAGCTCGAGGTTCAACGAACTTATTCCAAGTTTCCAGCGACGCAGTGACCACCTTGTTTACTTATAGCGCACTACTATGAAAAGTTGTCGCGACCACGTTGGTCGCCGATCCTTAAAAATGGTTTCTCTGACTCAGGCATGTCGTCTCCTTTCTGCCAGACAGGCTTTTTCACTGGCAACAGTCACTAGCTGGTAGCTGGCATGCTTACTGTCCGGACCGGCCACTCAATAAAGAGATTGCCTGTCTACATACGTGTGTAGAAGACCATTATTTTTTATTTGCTTCGAGAGCAAAAAGCAGGGTTCGGTTTTTTTTACTGATACCCCTTATGACCCTTCGGAGCTCCACTGTACTTCGTTTCAACTTAAGTCAGAGCGCATATGAGGCCACAAGTGGCTGTGTTCAATCAAGAAGAACCAGACGCGCAACGTCACGACGTTCCTCATTATCTGTGTGTTTGCTATTATCAACTAAGCTAACCAACCGCATTGCTTTTGCCATAATCTAGCGGTTTTAGTATGCGTGTTCGTGTTTATGTGGATTTTAGAACACTGCGCTCATAGTTGTGGTAAAAGTATGTGCTTAGTGACCTAACCTATAGCACGAATTCATTTACGAAGTCACTTTTTTTGGTGAGTTGCTCTTCTTGCGCGGTTATGAGAGCACCAGCAAAACAATAATAATTTGAATAAAATGTATCACCCTTTACGTAACGATTTGGTAAAGATGACCGTATCAAAAACCTGCAAAACAGAAGGTATAGTCTGCATTCAAGAGCTGCAAACAAATATTTTGTATGCTTCGCACGCGTTGTCGGATGAGTTATCAAAGCGTCAATGGTTTACATTGCAGTGATCTAACAGTGACCCTCAGATCGACTCCAGGGTACACAGCCAAAAACGTAATGAATTTTCATCCTCGAGGTTGTGAGTATTGCATTTGAGGTCTCTGTACTGTGCGAGTGTAAACTATCACTTTCCTTTAAGTATTATGGTGGCTACGGGAACTTTGCGCCAAAGCAAAACTCGCTGAGGGGCGTCAGTCTGTACGACAGACCTTTAAAATAATCGACTTCGCGCGCTGCCATCTTAATCTCCCGGGCTGCGGAAAGCCGTTCTGAGCGTGGGCAGTAAGTAGCTCTCTTCCACGAAATACGAGACGCTGCGCATGCGTTCACCGCGCAGTGATTCAGCATTTTCTGTGAGGGTGATAAGCGGCGGAAAGGTTTTATCGAAGTTTTCCTTGGACTCTCGCTATAGACCTTTGCATCGCATATCACCGGGGCGAAAGACGCTGAGTCACTGAGCTGGGGACGCATTAGGAAGCCTCTGATATCGACAGAGGAACAGCGCATGCTCAGAAGGCGTTCCACAGCCTACAGCAGACAAAGACGGCAGCGCAAAGAAGACGATTTTTGCTAAGGTTTCCACTGATCCCGAGTCTGAGCTGACGCTACCATACGAGTTAAAAAAAGCAGCACCAACACTGCACTGTCATTGCGCTCATCGTCTTTGGGCGTTTGCTATAACCGGCTAGGTCGCCAAACCAGCCAGGCATAATTAGTGCACCATGATCCTGCGTTTCTTTTTTTTTTTCGACGTGTGATTGGTTTAGATGATTCTGCAAAAGCGCTAAGAGGATTAGCACCGTGACATGCACTTTTGACGCTGCTCGATTGGCTATATGGGATTGTAGCGTCGGCTGTGCTCGGTCTTTACGTCTAAACAAAACAGTCGCAGTTAAGCCCCCCCCCCAAAAAAAAAAAAAAATTGAGATGACACATAAGATTGCTTACGTGTAAAAATGGGAAAGCATTCGTTACACGCAGTGCATTCCTACAAGCAGCGCGTCACGTCTTCCTTTTGCACACTGCGCTCTGGCGGTGACATCACGCTTCCCCATTGCGCAGGCGCCCCCCCCCCCCCCTCCCCTTCCTCCCGGCTCCACGGCTTCTGTTACCATGCACCTGCGTTGCTCCGCTTTTCTTTGTGTTTCATTTCTTTTCTGAGCTTCCTCAGCGGCTTCTGTGACGAGGCATGAGATATGACTTCATGGGCTTTATTTACTCCATGGGGCAGGAGAATTAAGGGGCTGTCAATCTAGGTGCCGTTTTGTGCGGCTTGAAAAGCTGATAACGCCAGTTCAGTTTCGTCTACACTTCGTTTCAGCTTAGGTCCGAGCGCGGCCGATGTTATGAGCCGAAGGGCCAATCAAACAGCGAAACAGGCGCAACCTCATGGCGTGCTTTCTGCAGTTGAGAGGACTAGCCGGTAATCGCCGTTTCTCTATGCGTGCTCCTATGCCGGCTACTTCTATAAAGCGCAGAGAGCACGCCATGACGCTGCGCTTTCTGCGCTCTATGATTGGCCCATCGGCTCATAACATAGGCCGCGCTCGGACCTAAGCTGAAACGAAGTATACACGTGCCTTAGGGTGATAGATATTTTAATGAACGTTGGAACGTCGACTCAACTGCATATTTATCCCCCACAAAAACAAAACCACCTTCTCGTTAAAAGAAGGATTACATACAAGGTATCCCCGAAAACAAGTTAATGGGTAATAACTACAAAAAGTAAACTGTGCACCGTCGAACACCCATTTTCCGCCCAAAGGCAGCGCTAGAGGTTCGTACCAGATGCCAAAGTTTCAGCACGAGGCAATATTTTATTTAAAAGTTACGAGTGATTTTTTTTTTTAAACTTTGATAAGAAAATCGTGGCCGACGGAGCGCTCCAATACATGGAAATGTATGGCGCAGTCCAGGGCCGAAAATGGGCCCCATTTTCCCATCAAAATTTTCAAGAAAATCACTTATAACTTTCGAATAAAAAATATTATTCGTGCTGAAACATTGCGAACTGGTTCAGACCTCTAGCGCTACTGTTTCGGTGGAATATGAGTAGTTTATTTTTGCAATGAAAAAAAAAAAAACTGTAATTTTTTTGGTGGACACACTACTTCGTTTTACATTAGGTCCAGACGCAGCTGATGCTATGAGCTAATCGGAGCAATCAAACAGAGTCGAAAGCGCACCAACATGATGCTCTTATTTCTGTACTTGCTTCGCTATCGCTGAACCGATTCCGTTCAAAGAGGGTACAGTGACTTGCGCTTGTGATGCTGTTTCATTCGTCCTATCTGGGTTTATGCACATCAACTTAATCTCGACATTCTTTAAGAACAGGAATTGCACAATTACCACTAAAATATTGTAAAACATTACTGAACCATTTTATCGATTTCAGAGATAAGTTTAATGAAATACCCATGTCGATCATAGATCGGTCATTCTACTTGGCATGTCCCTAAATAGCCTTCGTATTTCACTTTGTCCAGGTGAGTGAATTTATTAAGGGGAACATCCGATAAAGCCTATTTTGCCTCTTCGCAGATAGAAGCTTTCTGTCGGCCTATTCAGTGTACAAAGACAACAAGAAGGGCAATATACTCCGTGTGCCATACGCAGGCGGTAAGACAATATTTGTTTTACAGCATCAAAAGCTTCTTAACAAAACTCCCCACCCTTCGTCCCCCTAATTTCAAAACTTGGTCCGTAAACGCATTTTCCGCTTAATATAGCTGGGATTTTATGCGGCACGGTCGTAGTATACTGAATGTTTACTAAGTGAGCCATCTTCCAACCGCGCAGAAGGGGCATGCGCCCTGCTCGTTCCCAAGAGTCAACTGGGAAACCACTCGGTTTGCTGCGACTTCATCTTTGACCTCCTCTGTGGCAGCGGCACCAAGTTCAACATATCCGACAGCAGCTGCCCGTAGAAGGCTCAATGCGGCCTCATGCAGCGTCGTTACTGCGGTTCAATTGACCGCTGTCTCTACATATGTACGGTAGATGGCTTTGCACCTTACGCCGGTTTTTAAAATAAATATATTCTACATCTATAAAATAAGACTTGTTTTGCTGTACCTCTTCGAAACACAATATTTTCCATCTTACTGAGGGTCCGTGCAACGATGTAAAGTTGGAATGCTTCTCACTTTCTCAAGCTCACTCGCACTAGTGGGATCCAAGTATACCCACACGGAACGACACTGACGAGGAAGCATCTTTGTAAGTATCCAATTTCAAGAATAAGGACGAAGTCATTTTTTTCCAGTTTCTTCTTTTAAAACCTCGATGACGTAGACACGGTCAATGAATAGACCGATGCCACCAAGCGAACTACGCTGTCTTGCGCATTCCAGAAGTATTGCCGCCGCCATGCTACTTGTAGTCCTCGCCCTCCAACTTCCCGGCTGAATAGGGCTGATGTGGGCGTACATCATAGTTTAGGAAGCCCTGGTATTAGCTTGGATTATCCTGCATGTCTGTACATCATAAGATTGTGTTGCTTGTAATGCCTTAGTTTGTCATCAAGTGCAGAAAAACATTTTCAGTCGTCTTATCGCTTTAGAATCGCTTTGTCGTCTGCTTCGTCGTCGTCGGCTTCTTTGTAGGGGTGTGCCAATAGTGGTTAGAATCGAGTAGCAGAACGTAATTTATAGCCTTTGCGGTGCAAAGGAAGGCCGAGGCAACCGGCTCTCTTTGCGCTGTTGATGCTAGGGATGACACTGCGCTGTTCGATTCGAACCACTATTTGCCCATGCCTACTTCTTTGTCTTCGTGAACGCGCGTGAACTCATGCACTGCGTTCATGCGGTGGTCCCACTGCGACCGCGGGAAAAACAAAGACGCCACTACTCTCTCGAGCACACCGGCTGCTCCGGCGTCTGAATAAAATTAGAAAAAAAATTAACATCTATTTCAATGTAAAAAAGCACAAACTTCAAGGAATCATCGGCTCGGTGTAGCACCGCGGAACAGCGACAAATGTGTCGGTGGAATACTGAGTTTTGTAGCGCTCAGGCTTGGGCATAACTTTTAACCGGTAATGAAGTAAGACGAGCTAAATAGATATTCTCAGGGAGTGATAGTTTTCTAAAACTCGCTTTATTCTGGTTGACAGCTTTCGCAACAGGGTACAGATGAACTGCGGGGGGAAGCCTGGACACAAAGAAGAAACGATCTACAAAAAAGACCATGCCTGACGCGCCGTAACAACTCGCAATTGTCAAAATGAGCCAACCATGCGAGATACCTGAAAACTAAGGGTAGAGATGAGCTTTTGTGTACAGTTTCTACTCAGTTTTATTTTGTTTGCGCAAGGTCCTAAGCCTAAAAGTTGCCCGACGGTGCATTTTGCTTTTTACTGCTGTCTCCATTGGTGTTAATACAGAATGGATCAGTAACGCCAGCCAATATCAGGTTGTGGCATAATAGTCCACCACAAGGTGCACCTTGTTCGTTTGCTACCTTTTTGGTGGTAAGTGATGTAACTATAAATTGCATTGTGTGGTGTTTTCACGTTTTGTTATCAGAAAAACAAAAGGGGGGATCGGTGGCAGAGTGGGCTAGCGCACGCCACCTCGGAGCACGTGGAGCGAAGGCGCGCGCTGCAGAACCCAGGAACCTAGGTTCAATCCCCACCCTGCCCGTTTCGATTTGGACGATTTGGATGAGCATCGTACAGGAGTCCGGTCGTGTGTCACTACTGCGTGGTGCACGTTAAAGACCCCAGGCTACCAGTTGTACTGCGCTGGCTAAATTTCTTATCTACAGCTGGGGGACTCGTCGCCCGTTAAGGCAGACCAAGTTCTAGGCTGTATAATAAACAAAACACAACCCAATATTTTTTGTTAGAGAAACAATATTAAGATTGATTCCGAAAACGTCAATATATTTCAAGCTATACACACCGAGAGTCGCTGCTCTTTCTTTAGTGATGGTCCTCATTTTTTGAAGCACAGTTGTGCTCGAAACATATTGTCTCAATAACAGTTGTAATCACCAAAATACATCGAGCAAACATTGTATTAAAATGGACCCCGCAAGGCAGTGGGAGGTCCCGATTGAGATAGAAGAACGGATAGACCTCTACGGAGCGAGTGCTTAGGGCAATTCCAACGTACGGAACACTTCAGCACGCCCTACTATATTTTCTGCCCTGTAATCTTACACTCTTTAGTTAGCGTGCAATGGCGTGAATATAAAATGTAAAAGGAAGTCACGAAACAAATCAAAAAACGCTTTTTCCTGCCGCTCTTTTCCAGCTCTCTTTACCTTCTTCAGACACTCTTTTCCGGTGCTGCTTTCTTTCGGGAAGACATAAAATCCTATGCCTTTTTGCCTGGTTCTGTTATTGTAGCACCTTGGCACAGAACGGGTGAAGCCACCCATTAAAAACCGTGAGTAAACGCCCGATCAAAAGACTCGTGCTGAACCGAAAATTTCCAAACGCCGGGCGTACAACGCGCTGTGACGCGGCCAGAAAACTGGGAGAACTACAGGTACCAGAATGTGCCGCTGCTGCGGTAGCGTCGCACAACTCCTGGTGAGATCGCTCTATTGTTGATGTGGTCGCAGGCAGCACCCAGTGTGACAGTAGTGGAGAGCGGCTTTTATACTAGGAACAAGTACTGAATGAGCTAAGGCATTTAGGCTAAGGACAATCAATCTCTCGATTATCATTCGGGTAGTAGATAGAGCCTAATCTCAGCGATGACGAGATACCCGAACTCTAACAATGTCTGGGACTTAGCGCGTACCGCCTGCTTCGCCCACCCCAGCGCGTGGTTATGAAAAACACTGGCGGCATACAATCAGCACCAGATCCCGTGGCATCTGGTTCTGGCGGTGAATTAAAGGCGTGAACGCTGCTCGTTTTTAACTTTTTCTTGTGTGTGCTGCTGCTATTGCTTCAAGAGAATAACTAGGACGTGTGGTTTTTAGGTTATGAGGGCCAAGTATCATTACAAATGGCATTTACGGAAATAAATGATATCGTTTTATGGGGTCAAAATAGGTCATACCCAATATATCAAGTCAAAGCGATGCCCCATTCCCGATTAAAAACTAATATTAAAAATGTCCTACCAGCTGGGTTAGCGGCCCGACAGGGGGTGAGTAACGTTGGCACTAGGTGAGCTCGTGAAGCAACACTGGGCACTGGCGTAGGTTGCGCCCAATGCTCTCGTACGGACGCCACGGACGGTTCGTTTCCCGTGGCATTCTGCGATTCTGCTGACGGCAAGAGGTGCTTACGCGTTATCCTGTGTTCTCCTATTTCTATTTGCGTTTTGACAGTTCATTTAACTACAGCATAGCTTCTGCGACCGCGCGGAAGAGAGCGAAGCGGTGCTGCTCGCTCACGCGCGTGTCGTGGAGCCGGAGAAACACGTCGGGCTCACGTTGGGCAATGCCTAGCACGACTTTGTAGTGCTGTGGGCATACCTCGGCAAACCTCACTCATGGGGGCCCTCACTCACCCTCACTCACCCTCATCTTCACAGGTGAGGTGAGGGTGAGTGAGTTTCTGAACCAGGAAAATTCATGAGTGTGAGGGTGAGTGATGGCCGTGAGGGCTGTGAGGGCGGTGAGGGCCGTGTGGGCGGTGAGTGCCGTGAGGGCAGTGAGGGCGGTGAGGGCCGTGAGGGCCATGAGGGCCATGAGGGTCATGAGGGCGGTGAGGGCGATAAGGGGTACGAGGCCCATGAGTGCGTGAGGGGCGTGAGGGCGGTGAGTGGCGTGAGGGCCATGAGTGCGTGAGTGGTGTGAGGGCGGTGGGTGCGTGAGGGGTGTGAGGGCCGTGAGTGCGTGAGGGCAGTGAGTGGCATGAGAGCCGTGAGCGCCGCGAGGGCCGTCAGGGCGGTGAGTGCATGAGGTGTGTGAGGGCCATGAGTGCGTGAGGGCGGTGAGTGCGTGAGGCCCCCTTCAGATCGAGCATCTTTCTCAGCAATTTTGGTGTTAGTGGCGGGTTGTTCTCTAGCTTTCCCTAGATCGACACGAATTGCTGAGATCGGGTCCGGCTCGAAATAAGCAAGCAACTCGGAGCAATTCGAATACGTTTGAAGCGGCTGCACCCAATCAGGGATGCAAAATTTTCATGTGATACCTCGTGCCGGTGATGATGACACCGAAAGACTTGGTTCTGGTTTGAAATCGATCGTTTTTTGGAAATAAACTGTTTCAGAAAGGTGCTTTAGTGTTCTTAACGAGATTGAAATGCATAAAAACACGTTTTTAACGCGTAATTGTGTCTAAATAGTGCAAGAAAAATAAAATTTTATGACGACGATGGCAACTTGCAGCAATTGGTTGCTGCGTGCGTTCGCGGGCGGCCCGTGTTGCTGGTGCTGCGACGTCAAGTTTCTGGGCGAAATTGCCCCATTTGAAGCTGGCCTGAGTGGCGTGAGAGCCATCAGTGCGTGAATGGCGTGAGGGGTGCGAGGGCCGCAAGGGCAGTGAGGGGCGTGAGGGCGGAGAGTGGCGTGAGGGCGGTGAGTGGCGTGAGGGCCGTGAGGGCGGTGAGGGCCGTGAGGGCGGTGAGGGCCGTGAGGGCGGTGAGTGGCGTGAGGGCTATGAGTGCGTGGGGGCCGTGAGGGCGGTGAGGGCCGTGAGGGCGGTGAGGGCGGTGAGGGCCGTGAGGGCGGTGAGGGCGGTGAGAGCCGTGAGGGCGGTGAGTGGCGTGAGGGCGGTGAGTGGCGTGAGGGCCATGAGTGATTGAGGGGCGTGAGGGCCGTGAGGGCCGTGAGGGCGGTGAGGGCGGTGAGGGCGTGAGGGCCGTGAGGTTCAGTGAGGGTGAGTGAAAGGCTGAAGCAACACCTCCTAGAAGACAAGGCCATAGCGCTCTGAGAGGTTACGTCACAAGGGCGGAAAAAGGAAGTCCATGGCGCAACTACGTGAGAATACGCTATCGACGTGAAAAGAATGTTCCTTGACA